TTCTCCCCCCCGCCATGAAAGACCAAAGAGTTGCTGTAGATTGTTTTTTGTTTGTTTGTTTTGTTTGTTTGTTTGTTTTTTGTGGTCTGTGGTATATTTCAGAGGATATTTATTCCCTTATATTGCATATAACATTGTGTATTTTACACACACACAAACACACAGTCACAATTTTTTTCTAGGATAGTGTTCTATAACCCTTTTTTAGAGTCTCATTTCAGTCTGTGCCTCAAAAAATGCAATAAATGTAAAGATCCAAACCACTTTTAATTTTTTCCCTCCTTGACCATAACCCTAGAGACAGCAGGCAGCTAACCACCTGGTCCTTCTCCTTTGGGCATTCAATTATGTACTTGTCACTCTACAGTGTTCCAGATACAAGCAACTTTACAAGGCTTTAGAAACCCGACAGCTTCAAATACTGCCTCGCTAGCAAAATCTCTAAAACGGCTAAGTCCTGAAATACATTACACAGAATCCTCACCACTGTCTTCGATTTAGTTTAGTCCAATCCAGTTCCAGGAATACTTAGTTAAATAAACTCCTTCAATGAATACATGTCCATAGCCTTGTCTTCCCTTTCACGTTTTCTTGGTGAAAAGGCAGGAGGAAAGATTCTCAACTACCTCTGTAGCCCTTAGAAGAGAGGTGATCATCCGTTTATTTTTTTTTTCCTTTTCTAGTCTCTTTCACCTTATTAATCAAAACTGAACCTCTTGGCTTTAGACATTTTGTATTTACTTAACAACATTTTAGACATGTATTTACATATATTCCTATATTTTAAATCCAAGATGCTTAAGAAGATGACTTCAAGTGGTGGGGGGAAAAAACACTATAAAACGTTCAATGTCATTTTCACACCACAAGGAGCTACTGTGTATGATTTAGTGATTTTTCAAAACTATATGAAAGAAGCTGTCAGGCTTCTAGAAAAATATGAACCTTCTCTAAACTATTTCTCCAATAACTCTCTTTAGAAAGGACAAACTAATCATTAGAAATAATGTGTCTACTCTGTATTACACATACAATTTAAGGTCTTGAATCAGATAATGCCCTGTGAAAGTATGCCTATGAAAAACGTAAATAAATGTAATCTTGGTATCTTTACACTGCTAGCAAAGAAATGTACCCTAGTTGAGACACTGCAAGATGTGAATCAGCTGCAGTTTTAGCAGGTGACTTCTTGAATCTCAGAGCACTCTCTGTAAAGAAATCTCACCTGGTGTAGGTTCGTGAGTAATCCCTAATGGCTTCAAAGAGCTCCCCTAAAACTTCAGGAAGACCTCAGATTGATCTCCTCACTCAGGGTGGCCCATAAGTATAAGACCAACTTTCAACTGGCTGTGGTTGGAAGGCCGCATGGGATGAGGAATCACCAGTTATTGAATCCAGGCCCACTGGGGTTTCTCTTTCTAGAAGAGACCTCTAGAGAACCCTCTCAAATGTGGAAAATAAACCACTTATTTATTTATTTTTTTTTGCCAGGCTCTAAGCTATTGGACAGACATTATTGTCCATCTATTGATTAATGCTCTATGCTCAATCCAATCCATATGTATGGGGGTATTTTAAAAATTATCATAATTGTTTTTATAAGTCATTTTATGGTTAAGCTTTAATTTTCCTCCCCATTTCTTTTTTTTTTTTTNACTGTGACACCCACTCACATCCATAGTGGGTCTTGATGCTGCATCATAACTCCCTTGAGACTTGGGGACTAAGGGAAACGGATGCCAACATGAAGCTCAGGCTGCCTGCTCTGCTTATAGTAATAAACTGCCTAATTGTATTTGGATCCATTGTGTCTTCAGTGGCCAAATCTATGGAAGCATGGCATGCCAACCTAGCAGCTGCCACCATGCACGGCTCAGGGGCTCCTTGGACTCTTGACGATCCGATTTGGGCTGCATGTAGTCCAAATGCTCACTTAATGGTCAGGCTTGCAAGGAAGGAGCAAAGTCCTGTCAGCTTCCAATGAACCTTTTTGCACCACTGTAAAAGAATAACAAAATGTCACTAATACTTTAGAAAATCCCACGGCACACAAAAAGAAGAACCTCATTTAATAAATAGAGCATCTGTCTCTTGGGGAAGGAGAAATAAGTCACAGAAGAGTAAAGCACTTTAGAATAATTAAATTGTATCTTCTAAGGGAATGGGAAAATGTAGGACATTTTTATAAAAAGAATCATTTGAAAAATTTTTATTTCAAATGATAAAGGAAATTTTACAAGGGGGTGATATGGGTGAAACAGAGAAATCGGGAGATCTTATAGGCTTCTAATAGAGAACCTAAGAAAAGAGAGAAAGGAAGAAGAGAGAAAATAAAGATCAGAACAGAAAATGCAGAGATAATCAGATATTAAATAACATAATATTTTTTCCAAAGCAGAGAAAGACATCAAGATTATTTTCATAAGATTTTAAAAGCACAAGAAACAAGATCTTCGGTCTAAATATACCCCAAATATATATTTTTAAACTATAATCAAATAATCAGATTCTGACTAGAAATTGTCCACAGGAAAACTGGGTGTTAGAAGAAAATGGAACAATTTTTAATTTTTTCTGAGGAAAAAGATTATTTGGAACATAACATTATACATCTTGTTAAATTATCAATCAAGATGTTTGAACAAATCTGTTAAGTCAGAGAAAAAACAAAAGAAAAAGCAATTTAAAGGAATTAGAGAATATGTAGAGAGAAAAACCCATCAACTTCTACAAGCAGGCACGATAAATTAATAATGTGATATTAATTTGTGTGTGTTACACTCAGAAAAAATAAAATAGATAGCTCGTCTGGTTAGCCATTGCTGACAAACATCACAAATTTAATGGCTTGTCACAAAACAATAATTTTATTATTTGCCATGGTTCTCCGTTCTCACTCTCACTCTGTTCCTCTCTTACCCTCCCTCCTCCATGTGGTTTGTTCATGCCTAGAAGGCGTTCCTCAGAGTCTGATAGCTTCAGAACAGCTAGACCCCTTACATAGCAGCTGAGGGCTACAGCCTCAGTATTTCAGCCTCCAAAGCAGAAGTCTCCTCACTTTTTCTGACCCATCCTTGAAAATCATGCAGCATCACCTTAGCTACATTCTGTCATTACAAGAGAGTCAAGGGAACAGGACTTGAACTCCACCTCTTGATGGGGATTCCAGGGAAGGAGTGGTGAGCTCTTCCTCTGCATTAGTAGGCGACAAGTTGATATGGGGGGGGGGGAATATTGTTGCAGCCACCTGTGGGAAATGCTATCTCCTAGATATACATAATTTTAAAAAATGAATTCACAGAGAAACAACGTCTTTGGAATTCGAAGATATGCCAAATACAAAAATCTCAATAGATGACATGGAGAATAACATTAGAAACATAACCTAGAAATTAAAGGAAGAGATAAAGAGATGGAAAACCTGAGATAAGGGACAATGACTTTAAAGGGATAAACTGTAAGGAACAATATCTGAATATAGGAGTTCCAGAACAAGAAAAAATGGAGGAGAGGGGATATCAATGAAAAATTCATTAGACCGTCCCAGAACGGAATGGCACGAGATTGCAGAATAAAGGGACTGGTGAGTACCCTGCAATGATGTTAGAAATATATAAACACCAAGGAAAAATATAATACAACTTAAAAAATCTGGAAAAACTAAAGAGTCTACAGACTTCCAGAGAAAAAGAAATCCATGGGTCTTAGACAAAGATCAGACATCCGAAAAAGTACACATTTCTTAACGGCAATAGTAATAAGAAGATGATAGAGTGTGTTCCATATCCTGAAGGAAAACAATATCCAGTCTTGACTTCTTTGCCCAAGAAGAGAATACTTGTTCCTCCAATATTTGGTTATCATATCAAAATCAAATAGCAACATATACAGAAGGAAAACTCATTGGAAATGGAGAGGCAAAGGACCTTGATGACAATCAGAGGCCAACAGCTGTAAACAAACTGAATCTCAGTCTCTTTCAGGACATGTCACAAGGCCCTGGGAGGTTGACTTCAAAGATGAAACGTGTTTAGCCTCAGCAGTTCGGGAGGAAATTTAGGCAGTTGTGCAAGAGTTTGTGGTAGAATTTAAAAAACATATGAACAAAAGCATAGAAAACTAAGAATGTAACCATCCACGGACCCATAATTCAACAGATGTTTTATGGAAAGATTGGCAGTGTGTTTGAGGACATTCCTTTCTCCAATATTCTCACTCCAGTACCACGGGAACTCTAAACTCTTTTCTCTATTCTATTTTACGTCAG